AATGTCTTGGATGCGCGCTGGCAAAATCGTAGGTAGGGAGAAAAAAGCTCATTATACTCTCGACTCTTTTTCATTAAACATACTTTTTCATACAGTACCTGCCAAAAGTTTTGTTCAATCATGAATAGTAGTGCGAGTCGAAAACAAGCGTAAAGCCTTTAATATGTCTTCAAATATAAATAAACATCTCGTTGATATTTTCAGTAGTATATGGTACCAATAACAGCACATTTAAGCAATGCAATTGTAGTGGATAGAATGGTCAATTTTTCGTTGCAGTACTGTACGGATTATACGCTCCTCACCGGTTAAGAATTTGGCCGAGGGTTGTCTCCTTCCTTTTCTGGTCTAGTGCTGTTCTTTTCTACTTTGCGCCGGTCAAACTGAAGGTCACATCGCTACAGAAACTAAACGAAGTATATCTAGGTAGTGAGATATGTCATGACGGAAGGAGCAGTAGTGATATAAAGCAGAGGGTAGCGCAGCATAAAAAGAAGTGACAGCGAACGGTTAATATAGAAATTCGAAAAAGGTTGTTAAAGGTGTATGTTTGGAGCACGGCGTTGTACGGGTGCGAAACATGGACAATGGGCGCGGCGGAAAATAAAAGGTCAGAAGCGTTCGAAATGTGGTGTTACAGGCGAATGATGAGGATACCGTGGATAGAGAAGGTTAGAAATGAAGAGGTATTAGAAAGAGTAAGAGAACAAGGGACTCAATGGAAGTCAAGAAGAAGTAGGCGAGATAGGTCAGTAGCACACCTTCCCAGGCATGAAGGTCTAGTCAGAGACATATTACAAGCAGAAACGAAAGTTAGGAGGAGTAGAGGCAGACCTAGATTAGATTACTGTTCGCAAATAGTTGTTCTAGTTTTAGGGAAATTCGAAGATTAGCTGAGGATAGGAAAGAGTGGAGGTGCGTGTCCGACCAGTCTTAGGACTAACGACCTTATGATGATGATACAATTTGTATATCCACCAAATTACTTAGATGCCCGAAATGTTTTGTGGTTATTCGAAAACTCTCGAAAAGTAGGTGAAATAATTTCGAAATAAATTGAAATACTCGAAAACGTAATCTATAAATTAAAAGATTTACTTACCACACTAAATCTACTAGTCCACCCTGTTTGGCGATCACACTTTTCACCCTATTGGCAAAATCCACAGCCGTTTCGCCCTCTCTTTTGTACATCGGAGGCAAATACCATACGTCACACACAATGGCCCAACTGGTCATCATCATGTAAAGATACTGAAGCATCGAATAACGACTACTGTTCCAGAAGGCATCCCCGAAACGAGGGTCGTACTTTATTGCAACGGGATAGATAACTGTATCTACTTCGAAACTGCCTTTTTTAAATTGCATTACTGAAGTATTGTTAATGCAAGTTCCTTCGGGGAAAATCAGAATTGGAGGATTTTCCGGATTCGAGACATGCTCCTTTAATCTTTAATTAAAATATAGTATGACGCTAATGGGAAGGAAAGATGCAATAAATGTTGTAAGTAACTATGTGAAAATCTCAAAATTTCGTAGACTCAACTGATATATACAGGGTGGATTACACAAAAAAGCCGTAAGTCATAAGTGCTTTATTATTTTTAAAGATATCGCCATACTTCTTAGGACAAAATTACATAGTTGATTGACAGATGTCAATCAATGCTGCTTCCTGTTTCACCGGAAGTGACATTAACATCAGTTTTTTAAATAGAACATCCTGGTATCTTTTATTATTTTTGAATACCATATTATCATATCATGTCTGTTATTAGATGATAATCAACCATGCAACTTTACCCAAAGAAATATTGTCATATTTTTAAAAATAAAGGAGTTATGACTTGGGGCGTTTTTTTGTAATACACCCTGTATAAGCTATGCAAAAAACACCTTGTACGTATCTACTTTAACTAAGGATAAATATTGATCAAATTCAAACAACCTTCTTTATAAAAACAAATACAAAATTGATGGCAAAGCTTTCAGTAAATATTGATCTTCGGATTCCAAAGATGAACGCAATCTTTCAAGTTAACTCACAGAAGTGCGCACTGAAGATTGTTCAAAAGTTATATTTAGAAAAACGCTGAACTAAGACAAATCTTTTAAAAAACTTAAGGTCAGTCTAAAGAGGTCGTTATAATGAATGAGTTTTTATGAATTTAAAGAATATTTGGCAATTAAAATTTAATGTACAATATATATCGTTTATAACGACGTATGAACGATATATTTCGGTTATAGCGATCATTTATAATAATACAGGACATTATGACAAAGGAAGTACAGTGTAAACTCTATATAACGACACTTAAGGGACTGAACATTTTTCGGCGTTATAAAGAGTGGTCGTTAAATGGAGAGAAATAAAAGATATTATTTTACTATTCTATAATAATATGCATTTACCAATATAGTACACATTTTGCACACGAACATTATTATTCATACATTGCGTATAGC